TCTTACATGATTTTTCTCTTGATTTTTATTACATGCCTATGTGAAAGTGACAGCACTAGCTATTTTAGTCAATGCTTTAGAGTGTGTCTGATTAAAGCTGTGCTTCCTCTAGATTATGAAATAAATGCAAAGATGTTCTTGGAGGAAAATATGGCTACCCTTTTGTTTGTTTTCTGATACAGAGCAAAATTTGAAATCCTTCAGAGATATAAGTTTATTTGATTATGTACATTATTTATTCAAACAGTATCATCCAGTATAGTTCTATATCAATATGGGCCTTTGGCAGCAGTAAAGGGGCTGCAGAAAACTAAGGTGCCTTTAAACAGAAAGATTGCATCTTTACAAAAAAGACTTACCAGAGCCAGGGATTTAGCTCAGGGTTGCTTTGCCTGCCTTGCAAGCACAAGGTCCAAAGTTCAATCCCCGGTACCCAAAAAAAAAAAAAAAAAAAAAAAAAAAAAAGTTACCTTCTTAATCCAAATATAGGTATTTGTGTGGTTTTTCTCCCCCTTTCCATCGGATTTCTTCTGAAAATAATTTTTAAATATGTTCTTAGGCACTACATTGGATCACATTGACCCATAAAGAATGGAGGGTGAGAGGGGCTGTATTTTTATTACAATTTAATTGTTTAGCCATCCATCTATATTCTATTAATATCTAAAATAAAATATCCTGAGAAGAAAATAATTAACTATTTAATTGAATTCACTTAATGTTAGCTAAATAATACTAGGTTCCCACTCAAAGCCCACCTGTATTATCTGTGATGAGAAAAGGACTATAATTGTAAGTGGTCTTCTGTAATCAGTAAGTTTCACTAAGGACTTCATTTTTTTCCATTAAGTTTATTGGTACATTTAAGGTAAACAGTACAGTTACATTCATCATTGGGATCTTGTACCTTTACATGATTTGTCTTGGTTCTTATTTTTTTCCCCATTCCCCTGCCCTCCCTTTACCCCCTTCACCCTTCTCTATTTACAAAAACTTTGTTTCCATTTTTTCCTTTTTTCCTATTTTTAAGGACTTCACTTTTGATAGTTATTTCATTATGGCTTCCTATTTTTCAGTATTTAAAAATCAATCTAGATTTAATCACTCTAATTTTATAGGTAAATAATTTTTATTTTAAAAAATTTTAAGGCCCATCTGCTAGCACACATCTATTGTAATCTCAGTTGAGGCAGGAAAATCACTTAAACCCAGGATCTAAGGCCAGCCTAGGCAACACAGTGATACCCCCACATCAAAAAAACATATAAACCGGCCAGGATTTAGCTCAGTGGCACCATGCCTGCCTTTTAGGCACAAGGTCCTGAATTCGATCCCTGGTACCACACACACACACACACACACACATACACACACACACACACAAGCATCAAAACATATTAACATACACACATACACTTTTGTTGTTGCTGTTGTTAATTATCTTGAGGCAGTAATATTTCTTATTTCCTAAGGTAAAGTTGCTTTTTTTATTTCCAGTACCAGGAATGGAAGTCAGGACCTTGCTCTTGTGAGGCAAAAATTATTTTTAACCCAACATAGTCTTTTCTGTGAAGTCTTTCTTTCCTTTTGAAAGCCTAGTACTATACCTTGGCTTTCACTGAATCTGCTATTTTACCTATAAAATTATGAAAATATTAACCCCAGAGTGTAATTACTATTAATTAGATTCCTTATGGATACTTTATAAACAAACAATAAATAATGTAATTCCTGGTAACTATTTTTAAATGCCACTAAAACAAAAACAAAAATACTACTTTGTCTACTGTTTCAAGTATAGTTTATAAATATGCTTTTTGTTTGTTTATTTTTATTTTTGTTTTTTTGTTTTTTTTGAGACAGGGTCTCACTATGTAGTTGAGACTGACCTGGAACTTACTATGTAGCCCAGGCTTGTCCTGAACTCACAGCGATCCTCCTGCCTCAGCCTCCCGAGTGCTGGGATTACAGGTGTACACCACCATGCCCAGAGTAGTTTACAAATATGAAAATACCTCAAATAGCAGACGAAGTAGTATTGTTTAGATTTGTTTATAATCCCTATCTCACCATGATTTAATCCCAAAGCTAGAAAATATTATGGTTGATAAACATCCCTAATAAAATGAATATATTAAAAACTAGAAGAGAATTACTTTTGTTTGTTTGTTTTTTGGTACCAGGGATCAAACTTGGGTCCTCGCACTTGCCAGGCAGGAGGCGGCACCACTGAGCTAAATCCCTGACCGAAGAATTACTTTTAAAAGTTTACAAAATACTTTTGTAATCCCCTCACAGTCCTTCTAAAGTAACTTACTTTAGTAAAATGCTCAGTAAAGCTGACCAAGAGAAGAGCTAGGCCACAGATTCACTATTAATAAAAATCCCATTGTGAGAGAATATTATGCAATAGATAAAATTATTTAGCGTATTCATTTTATTAGGGATACTCAAGAACCAAAACAGTTTTTCAGCTTCAAACCTAATCATCTCATGAACTTTCCAGAAAAGGCTGGTAAAGTAAAAGCTAAAATAACTGCTTTCCAAGAAGTGACTATGTGAAGGTAAAACTTTAAGGAACTAGGTTTTTTCTCTTTTTGTTATACAAGGCAAGAGCTTAAACAGTAAACTTTTTTTTCTTTTTTTCATAAACAGTAGACTTTGAACCTAATTAATTTGTTGAGTATCTGAAACCAGTTTGGTTTTTTTCCTCTCTTCTTTTTTTCCCCCTGAAACCAGTTAGAATCCTTCCTTGTGAAATTTTTACACAAAATATAAAATAGAGGTTTTTATTTTGGTTTTCCAACATTTCATTTAAAACATAAAGACAAATTGGAAGAATTGTACAGTAAATACCTAAATACATGTTCCCTAAGTCCTATGATTAACATTTTGCAATATTGAATTTGTCACCTACCAACTGATGTATCCATCCCTGGACTAGAATTTAAGTAGGAAAAAGATTTTGTTTGCCATATATATTTAATATTGGTATTATAACATATATATAAATATATTTTAGGTTGGTATTATAACATTTATTAAAACAATGCTATGGGTTAATAGAAACAGCAAAGAACCAAAGAATTCAACTGTAAGCTATGTAAAATCCCAACTAAAACTCAAAAGTGTCTAATGTATTCATTCATTAGCTAACTAAAAGCCCAAAAATGACAAGACACCCAATATAATAAAGTACTGCAAAACAACTGACAATTTTCAGTTATAAATATTGTGGATTTTGTGTTTTGTATCCTTTTCTCAATCAAGATAAAAATTATTTTTGAATGTTATATAACATACACACAAAACAAGATAGAAAAATACATTTTAAACTTGTAACAATGGCTGAAAATACCAGTATCTGTGTATATTTTATATAACAATCTTAAGAAACTTTTAAAAATTAACTTTAGCGCTTTATAAGCAATACTTTTCTGAATGAATTTTGTGTTAAAGAAATATTACTGGGGCTGGGAGTGTAGATCAGTGGTAGAGCCCTTGTCTAATATATATAACGCCTGGGCTTGCTCTCCAGCACTACAACAAATGTGGGGGTTGGACATGGTGGTGCACATCTGTAATCCCAGCACTTGGGAGGCTGAGGTAGGAGGATCACAAGGTTAAGGACATCCTGGATGACAACAGCAAGTCCTGCAAGGCCATCCTGGACTATATAGTGAGACCCTGTCTCAATAAATTAAAAAATAAGGTGACCATATTGTATACTATAAAAATGTGAATGGAAATATAAACACTGAATTTTAGAGAAGAGGTGAAAAGCTAAGAAAAGTTCACAGGGAGCTTTAAATGTAATGTTTCATTTCCTAAAATCTGAAGCAGAAAATGTTAGAACATAACAGAGCTATCTGTTGAGTGTTTGGCCATTTGTTATTCTGTCTTCTTTGCTGTATGCTTGAAATATTTCACAATTCAAAATGAATGAAAAAATTTGCTCATCTTTCCTGCACAGTATTTTGTACTTGAGATCCACTGTCCAGTTGAACTGCTGGCTGAAGTGGATGAATAGAATCTGACAAAACCATATCTTCTCTCAGTTATTGATGCACTAGCTGAAGAATAATGTAAAGTGCCCTCTTTCTAGTAAGGAGCATAATTTGCATGCTATTAATATTGTCCTTGGGCCAGGGATTTAGCTCAGTCGCACCATGCTTGCCTTGCACGCACAAGGTCTTGAGTTCGATCCCCAGTACTGAAAAAAAAATTGTCCTTAAGTTTTTTTTAACATATTTAACATGGTTATTGAAAAGTATGTAATTACATTAGTATGTGATGTTTTTGTGTTCACCTGATTTCAGAAGAAAAGCATGGCAAGTGAAATAGAGCCAGGGAAGCTGATACATGAAAGCTTAGAGAGATAATGATGCTGCTCTGCCAGGGACTAGAAACTTGACCATTCTAAACAAACTGCATAGTACTAAATTGCTTGTGAAAGGCCTGACTTAGTCCTGCTGCAATTTGAACTTTTGGCTCCTGAAAGTCTAGTGCAGGCTTGAGAATAAAAATAAAGCCTTCACCTACTGGGTTGTGTTCCAAGTCCTCTCCTGAATTCATTGTATAAAGAGGCATCTATCCAAAGAACAAGAGACAGCAGGTGAGAGATGAGGCAGGTGAGAGATGAGGTGAAAAGGAGTCTTAGAGGATGCTACCTGCATCAAGAGTAAGGGATCGAGCTTCAAAGAGAAAGAACCAGATATAGTATTGATTTCTTAGGAAGCATTTATCTAGAGCCTAACATGCATGAGGGAAAAAGATACCCTTAAGAAGATATAGTAGGGTTGTGGTGTAAAGAATTAGTCATCCAACCAGAATTTATTTAGTGATTGTGACTTACCTAGCACTATGCTATTTTCTATAAGGGTCACAAGAGTTACAGTGTCTTATTTGCTCTAGGAGTGAGAAAACATATAGGCAACAATTAGAGGACAATAAATAAATATGATATATGCTCTAATTCTTGCCTATAAAATATGCATTTTAGCTTTGTGCAATGGCAGTATCGCAGCCAATGAGGTTTCTCTGAGATGTGATTATTGCTAATTGAAAACTTAAAATATGCATTTTATATTATGTGGCATAAAATAGAGAATATAAGACCTTGAATAACATAGTTTATAAATTCTAAAGGATTTAGAAAAGTGTCATAACATACTTTAAACCACAAATTGATGATTATTGAACCTAATCAGAAGGTTCAGATCCTACCTTCTGACACTTATGTAAACTTGGGCAGTTCCCTTAACCTTTAAACCTCAGTTCTGTCACCTCTAGAATGAAGCTGATAATCCCAGGTAGCTTTCCTTACTTATACACAGAATTTTAATGAGAATTAAGTGATGACAGATGTGAAAACAGTGTAGCGTTCGTAATTATCAAATCAACTGATAATTGAACTAGGTCTTGAAAAATATACCTGGATAACCTAAAAGGCTGGCTACAAGTGATCTCAGAGAGGGAACAGTTTGAACAAAGAAATATGAGACTTGGATATAAAACCATATAGAAACCACTTAATTATAGCAAAAATTTGTTTCAGAAAGATAGGTAAAAACTAATGTATTGATTGTGTTGGAGAAGGGATGAAGTTGAAGGTTATATATCATAATGCCTGGATTATGGTAGGATTCAGATTACAAAACCTGCAGTTTGGACTTGATCTGAAACGGAATTTAAAAATAGTTGCAAGTTTAAGTAGGAAATTATTATAAAAGTATTTAACTCGTATCCACTTTGATAATCAGCATGTAACTAAGTGTCTGGCATACAGATATTCAGGATTAACAAGAGAATTCAGTTAATCTATCAACAGTATTATAGGATGAATTGAACACATCTGAGTGTAGAATCAAGCCCTTTTATCATTTAGATGTTAGACTTGTTCATCTTTTTCTTTAACTATATCAATGATATATTTGCTCCACTAATAGGTTTATTTTAAACATCAAATCACATGGTGATATACCATCATCATTCACAAATACATCAATCTTATTTTGTAGGTTGTTGTATATAAACTACAGAAAGAAAAAAACTGAAGATAAATGCTTTGAAAAATGTCTTATGTACAATATAAGTTTGAAATACAGAGTTCTAAGGGATCAGGTAGCAAAAGAAAGGTATACAACAACCAAAGATCATCTTTCTGCTATATTTAATACAGGTATAGGTTCCTATTATTGTCAGGACCTGCTAGGCATAGGTAGGATCATGTAGAAGATAAAATACCAGTGTTAGTCAGGTAACTATTTAAGGTTCCCCAGAATTCTTCCTATGGTCAACAGCCTTTTCAGGTTTAACTTATTTATAATGAACTTCTATCATCATGAAGAAAGTGTAGAATACTGGTTTTAAAAGCAGGTTTGGAATCAGAATAACAAGCTCAGTTTAAAAATCTGCTGTATAAGCTTAGACAAATCATTCAATCTTTCTGAGGCCCATAGAGATAATAATATAAGATTGTCTGTAAGAATAAGTGAGATATTGCATGTAAACTCTTAATAGAGCACCTGGCACATGGTGAATGTCTGTTCAATAAATATCAGTTTATCAGGGCTTTTATTGTTTTTCAAGATCTTATTAACTCCTCTAACCTCCATTTTTTGTTGCTCCCAAATTCACTTCCACTTTTTTTGGGGGGTACCCAGGATTGAACTCGGGTCCTTGTGCTTGCGAGGCAGGTGGCAGAACTACTGAGCTAAATCACCAGCCCTCCGATTTTTCCATCTATATCTTACCCCATTGTGGGATACTGAATTAGGACTGCATCAGCACTGAACAAGTCTCAAAGTGCTCTATGAATTTGAAATTATATTATCTTCAAAGTAATTTAAGTATTAAATATATTTAGTTATAGTCTAAGTAATTCTTTTATAATCTATATTCTATGATATAGTTCCTCATATTTTTCCTTATAATTCGGGCTGTTTTTATACTTTCTATGGCATATTTACCTTTCTAATATGTATATCTTTCAGTTTTTAATGTAATATATGAAATATGGGGTACAGAAGTGGATCTTGGGACCCTGAGTTAACTTAATAGATCATGAGATAGGAGACTCTAATGTCACACAGAAAAATTAAAAACTAAACCCTTCAGAAGGGCAATTTAATAATATTTACTATATCCAAAATGTTTAAAATATTTAAACTAACTTCCAGTTCCATCTCTAGGTATCCATCTAATAAGTATGCATAAAAGTTGTATAAAAGAGTGGAGGTAAGAGTGCTTGTGTGCTAGCATGTGTGAGGCCTGGGTTCAATCCCTAGCACTATCAAAGAAAAGTGTCAGTAAAGGCATGTTTATAGAGATATTTTGTGTATAATAGTAAAGACTAGAAGCAAATTTCCATCAGCTGACAACTGTCTAAATAAACCATATATGATCACACAATAAGATACTATGTACTCCGTTGAAAAAACAAGGTAGACTTATATAACTATAGGAAAATGTACAAGCTATAATAAGTGGGGGGGCAAGAAGCAGAATAATATGTGTAATTTGAGTCTATATGTGTGTATGTGTGTCTCTTAAAGAGAAGCTATGACATAGAATGTGTATATGAAGAAAATATCTGAAAATACTGATGTTAATCACTCGGGGAATAGGATGATGAGAATGAGAATGATTTTTATTTTACTGTTCTGATTTCTGAAACAAATAGTCATTTAGTATGTGTTACTTTTATTTATTTTTTAAATGGTTTTTAAAAGGTTTGAAGAGAGAGACTGAGGGCTAAATGGCTGAGCGTTGTGTAAAGTGTCTTGGATGTGAAAAGCAATCTATAAATGCCTATTATTTTTACTAGACAATAGAATGTGAGGCTTTTGTTACCTGAAGAAAGAAGCATTTCAGCATCTCTTTCTACAGGAGCATATGGTGGTTAAGATCACAAGTGAAGAATGCTTTGGAGATCCTTTCTCCTGGAATAGACATACAGATCTCTTCACTATACTCTATTGCTCTTATGATGGAAAATTCTATGGAATGATTGTAAAGGCTCAGTGACACTGTTCAATTCCGTGTTTAAAGCTATTGTTAGATATTCTTTAAAGATAAAACTATTATCCACACAGTGATTACAAAACATGATAGATTTTAACAGCCTTTGTTTAAAGAATTTGATATATTTTATTGGTGTGAAGAGTGTCTTTTACTAATCATAGTAAGATACCACTTGGTGCTATCTGGGCAACAAATTTGAAATTTGGAGTATTATGTTCAGTTTTATCTAGCATTTTACAATTTAACAGGAGACAAAAGGTTATGTCACTCTATGTAATGGGCTTTCTGTTTTGTAACTTTTTAAGTGTTGGTCTTTTCCTTTTTGACACTCAGGGATTAATTTACTATTTGTTTCTCTCCATCAAGCCCTTAGAGAAAACATGCAAGCATAAATTTATGATTAATATAATCATTTTGCCTTATGACTAGGTATTTTTAAATAAAGTTGTATGTTAGTGCTATTATTTGCAAACATAAAAATTGAGTAAGCACTTAATTGAGTGCTATAGTAAAAATTACTATAGACTGTAACAGAGTTAATGTAATTAAATGCTTAGCAAACTAACAGTAAAGACTTTCTAGATGAATGGTGGTACACAGGAGAAGTCTGTATTTCAGTTTTCATTCAGTCATCAACTTCTGGGTAATATAAGAAAACAAACACAACTCAATTTCCATTACCAGAAGTTGTTTGGCCAATTTATTCATGATAATGATTCATAATGAAAACTTGATGTTACCATGTTCACGAAGCACTGTTGTCCATGTATCTTAATAAGGATGTGAGGGGAATATTAACTATCCCCAGGTTAAAACTAAAGAAATTAAGGATGGGAAAGATTAAAGGCTTGTCTATAAACAATGCAGCTAGACTCTAGAACTTCTGATACCAGAGTCCTTGCCACTTTTTAATGTTGCCCATTTTGGCTTGTGTTTGTTTGTTTGTTTTGGCTTGTTTTATTTTTGTTTTTTGTTTTTTGAGACAGGGTCTCACTACTCAGGTGGCCTTAAACTCACTATCTAGTCCAGGCTGGTCTTGAACTTATGGTGATCTTTCTGCTTTAGTCTCCCAAGTGCTGGGGGAGGCATACACCACCATGCCCAGCTCCATTTTAGCTTCTTTTCAGATTTGTGGAAAACAGCTTAGAGCATCATCTCCAATCCAAAATTTTCACTTTCTCAGTGAACAGACAGAAATACAGTGGGCCTCACCTTAAGATTGGAAGTTATTAAAGCCAAAGAGTAGATTTTTGTGCCAGGTACTCTTAGTGAGATAGATAGATCAGTTTAATATTCACAATTGGACTGGGAATTTACCTTAGCGGTGCCGACACCTGCCTCGCAAGCGCAAGGTCCAGATTTCAATCCCTGATACCAAAAAAAAAAAAAAAAAAAAAAAAAATTCACAATAACTTCATGAATTAAGTATAATATTGAGACTCAGATCAAGTAACTCCAAAATTCACAGCTCATTACAGCAGGGTCCAAGCCTTGAATCTCAAAGCCAGAGTATTTAACTGCTGGGCTCTATCGCTCTGAAAATATAACTGTTTATTTTAAGTGGATTAAATTCACTATGGGGGGATGTGAAGCAAGGTCTCACTATGTGTTCCATGTTGGCCTTGAACTCTAAAATTTATCTAATTCAGCCTCCAGTGCTGCAACTGTAAGTCTGTACACCTCAGCCGGCCCTCAGGACCTTTGGATTGGATGGAAAAATACTTACTCTAGCTTTCTCACTCTCAAAACAGGTGTTGGGATACTTGATTTTCTTATCCCAGTTTCTTATCCCAAATGAAATTGTGACTTGAGCAAAATCTTAGTTTATTAAGTGACCATTTTAGAACTAGAATGTAGGTTGTCTGGTTTCTAGTCCACTGCTTTTGTATCATTTCAAGTGATCTGCCCATGATGAAATTTTGTCAGAGAAGCAAAAAGTATGTCTACAGCATTCATTCTCATTGCAGTGTATCCTCCTATCTGTCCTGGAATACAGTTAGGTCAGCATTGTTCATTGTTTTACGGGGTTTATACCTTATGGAGCAATACGTAGTAATGAAAGCACCTTATTAACACAAGGGACTTCTATTACTTTAAAATCTTTTAATGCT